CTTATTGTTCAAAAAATATATATATATATATATATATATATATATATATATATATATATATACCACGAAGTGTATTGATGTAACTGTCATCCACAGACAGACTGTTTCGTTTTATCACAGCTCTCAATGGGGCTAGATGTCTGATTGCTTCAAGACGGTCGTCGAAACTCGAAAATATATATATATATATATATATATATATATATATATATATATATATATATATGAAATATATATATATATATATATATATATATATATATATATATACACATATGAACACACGTTTTAATGGGTTTCATCATGACAGTTGTGACGCGCAGGCGCACGTGCACCGAAAAGAGGATGAGAGAGACAGAGATGGCTATAGAGTGAGGGGGGGGGAAGGTATATGCGGCTGCTTGAGTTTGTCATATTGCGTTCTCTGTCAAATGTCAATTGAGCATTCGAAATGCCCATCGAAATTAGCTAGTGGTAAAAGTCTGTCAAAGGAATAATCATGCCAAAACCCCTCTGGGCAAACCAATTCCATTCACGCCTTCCCAGCCAAGACTTGTTGCAGAACTCTTTTTATTCTTATCCATGTTTTATTTCTTTATTCCATCTTTATTTTTTCTTCCTCTTTTTTTTTCTTTCTTTCTTTCTTTCTATGTTTGCAGCCAATTTAGTTCTTGTTATTTATAAACATCTTTTATTTACTTGCTTTTTTTTTTATCTATTTCATTACTTTTTGTTAATATATGTAAGCATATTATCTGCTAATCACAACGCAGCAGTTGTCTGTCGAAAGAATTATACACTTTTCGCGCTCTTGTATATCTGCATCACACATATATGTAATACACACATTCACAAACCCACATACATACACATATTTCATACCCTTGTTAGGAGGTAATTTTGTTTTGTTTACAAGGAACAAATAATAAGATTAATGTATATTATTTGACTATATTTTTGTTTCGTGAATTACCTAAATATTTTATTATATATTTTAGGTCAATTTATTTTCAAGCAATTATATATATGTATATATATATATATATATTGTATATTAGTTGAAAATTACTAACATAACAAGTGTGCTGTCGTTTTCCAGATACTTTCGTTATAGTTTTTGTTTTTTATTGTCACCCTAGAAATTTCCTCCTAACTGCTTTCTGCTGTCAATTTTCTTTTTCCTTTTTAGAAATTTAACAATTTTCATTTTTTTTATCTGATTTTTAAAGATTTTTTATATATATATATATATATATATATATATATATATATATATATATATATATATATATATATATTTCTTTTGATTTTGTTAGCACATTTCTTCTCTTCTAAATCTTCTTTTACTTCTCCTTCTCAATCGCCATTTTCTTTTTCTTCTTCTAAGTCGTCCTCTTCATTTTCTTTTTTTTTCTATGTCTTCTTCTGAATAGTCTTTTACGTTTTCTCAATGGTCTTCTTTTACTTCTACTACTACTTCTAAATCATCTTCTTCTCTTTCTACTTCCTCTTTTAAATCTTCTTCTACTTCTAAACCTTCGTCTTCTTTTTCTTCTCCTTCTTGTCTTTCTAAATCTTTGTCTCCTTCTTTTTTCTAAATCTTCGTCTTCTTCTTCTAAATCGTTTCCTTCTTCATCACCTTCTAAATCTTTTTCTTCTAAATCTTTTTCTTCCAAATCGTCATTTTCTCATTTTTCTTCTTTTTATTCTTTATTTCCTCCTCCTTCTTCTTCTTCTTCTTCTTCTTCTTCTTCTTCGTCATCATCATCATCTTATAAATCTTCTTCTCACGCTTTTTCTTTATCATCATCTTCATCGACTTTTTCCTGTTCTTCTTCTTCTTAATCTTCTGCGATTTTTCTTCAAAATTTTCTTTTTGTAATCTAATTATTTTCCAACATTTTTTCAGAATTCATCTTGTGAATTTCCTTTTTTCTCATAAACTTCTACTTTTTTTAAATTTTTTTTATTTAACTCCTTTATAGACAATTGATAAAGTAACATTTATAATCTTTTTCATCAGCTGCTTTTCACCCTTCTTTGTTGACTTAATTCGATTCTCCTTTTTTGTCCTTCTATTCCTTTTCTTTTTCTTCTTCTTCTTCTTCTTCTTCTTCTTCGAAATCAACCTTTTCTTATGCCACTTCTCTTTACATCTCTCTCTCTCTCTCTCTCTCTCTCTATATATATATATATATATATATATATATATATATATATATATATATATATATATTCTTCGTTTATTTCTGAAGGTTCTTCCTTTACTTAATCTTCGCTATTGTTTTTATTTTCCTTGTTTTTCTAAGACTTTTTACTTCTCTTTCTTTTTTATTTACTTCTTCTCTTTTCATTCTCCCCCGGTTTTAGTTCTTCCTTTTCTTCATCCTTTAAGTTCAGCTTATATATATATACCTGTAAATATATATATATATATATATATATATATATATATATATATATATATATATATATATATATATATATATATATATATATATATATATATATATACATATCCACAAGCATATAGATATACATATATAATATATATATACATATATACATATATATATATATATATATATATATATATATATATATATATATATATATATATATATATATATATATATATATATATATATATATATATATATATATATATATATATATATATATATATATATATATATATATATATATATATATATATATATATATATATATATATATATATATATATATCTCTCTCTCTATATATATATGCACACACATATACTCTGCACAATTTGACATTTTCTTTTCTTTTTCTTTCTTAGTCTCATTATCTTTTCCTCAGCAATATTCTCCATCATCTGACCAAATTATTGTCTTTGACACTGTCAATGTCTCTTTCTTCGATTCTGTAACGATTAAGTGCCAATCATTTGTCATCCGCTTCGATTTTCAACACCCGTTTTATTTACGCTTTCTTTTCTTCCCTAACATCATTGATAATTGTGTTTTCAGAAGAAAATGCTAAAAGGTAAATAAAACCAGAGAAAAATTATTAGAATAATGATATCTCCAAAATAATATGGTTTTCATCGAACGTTTTCAGCCATTCACCCGATCATTTCATATATAAGCCTCGTCTTCATTTTCCTATTTTATTTTTTTTTTTACTCGAATTTTGCGGGAAGAGTTTCAATAAAATCTATTTTCATAAATTTTGATTTCTGTTTTTCAAATCTATAAATTTATATAATTTTGGATATTAAGACAAACACGCCAATTGTTGACAATTTATTTTTAAATGTGTGCAAATATGACTACAAGTTAATCCCGTATTCGTAAACTGAAGAAAACTTATGAATATATCATTATGTGTAAAATTCCAGATCTAATACAGACCGGGTGTAAAAGCAAAATTGTCCAGTTGTTTAGATTAAGATTTGGATCGTCATATCTTTGGAATACTTCGACATATCTTACTGGCATTCTTCGAGGTTTTATAACACTATTGAACTCTACTCTCGTAGCTTAACAGAAGAATTTTCATGGAATCGATCATAATCGATAATGATAATGTTCATCATTAATTAAATCATAACTAAGGTTATATTCAATTTTCTGAACGCTTAACAAGCCAAATGCGCATGAACCTGCTTAACCAATGCAAGTCAAATAACACAAAAATTAAAATGCCAGAAATCTATTTTTTTCCATAGCTCATTCCCTGGTGTAACTTTAATAAAATTGAAACATGTTAGATTGATAAATGTTTGATCTTTTTCATATATATATATATATCATTGAAACGCTATTCTTGTGAATACTCATATTTGATTATATGCTTTAGAATTTTAAACGCTTTGTTTATTTTCGTCTAGCGCACTCAATTTTCGAGGAATCTTATTAAAGAGAAATATCCACTGTCGGGCGGGATTATAACGCACGTCCATATTTGCTGGATAATCAGATTCCTAAAAGTTCATATCTACTCAAATTCCTATTCAAACGTAACAAAGCATTTTCTAAAAATGTAATGGATTTTTTTATTTATTAATCTGACATGTATTTAAGAACGACAAAGTTGTATAGAAAATGTAACCAAAATGGACACGAATACATAACACATGAAGAGACTGTCGAAATTTGTATAAGTCATAATCAGGAAAGAGGACTATGAAAACTACTCACTGGATGGATTGAAGGCAAGACGGACGTGATAGACAACGCATAACCTACCTAGAGAGCTTGAGTAAATGGAATCAGTGGAAGAAGTTTAGCAGAGTTAATAAAAAGATAACTTTTAATCTCTATCTATAAAAGGCAGGATATGTGTGTGTGTGTGTGTGTGTGTGTGTGTGTGTGTGTGTGTGTGTGTGTGTGTGTGTGTGTGTGTGTAACGAATGCACGGCCGCAATTTTCGACGGATTTGAACCAAAATTTACATGCACATGCTCCAAGTTAGCAGAAAGGCCAAGACCGACTTTGCTTTTCCCAACTCCCATTGATAGGGGAAATAATCGATATTTTCATGCTTCTACGGCAGTTTTCATGTAGTTTGGGCCATTTTGTACTGGCCAGATTGAGAGCCAATAGCTGGCTGCCACGAATAGGCAGGAAGATTCTATTGGCCAGCGTGAGAGCCAACAGCTGACTGACACGAATGTTAACTAGCATGCTAACATGCAAAAAAATAATCGATAGCTGCATTCGTCACAAGTGGGAAAAATTTAAATCTGCATAGCACTTTACTCCAGTTGGCTCATTCGCTTCCTTAAGCTCAACGTTGATTCTGATTTCGCAGAACTGGGTTGGATGTAAAAAAGTAGTTGTTGTTAACATTCTTTTTTCATTCAGTTTTTCTAGTTACGAGTCCTTTTTTAAAGCTGATCGTTTTGTGTTCATTTTCTTTAGTTCTTTTTTCGTAAGTTAATATGAAGGAGAAGATGAAGAAGAAAATGAAGAATAATATGAAGGAGAAGATAAAGAAGAAAATGAAGAATAACATGAAGGAGAAGATGAAGAAGAAAATGAAGAATAACATGAAGGAGAAGATGAAGAAGAAAATGAAGAATAATATGAAGGAGAAGATGAAGAAGAAAATGAAGAATAACATGAAGGAGAAGATGAAGAAGAAAATGAAGAATAATATGAAGGAGAAGATGAAGAAGAAAATGAAGAATAATATGAAGGAGAAGATGAAGAAGAAAATGAAGAATAATATGAAGGAGAAGATGAAGAAGAAAATGAAGAATAATATGAAGGAGAAGATGAAGAAGAAAATGAAGAATAATATGAAGGAGAAGATGAAAAAGATGAAGAATGAGGATGAAGAAGATTATGAATGATAAGATGAAGAAGGAGTAGATGAAGAAGATGAAAATGATGATGATGATAATGTAGATGATGATGAAGAAGAAGAAAAATTAGAAGAAAAGGAAGAAGATGATGATGACGATGAAGAAGATGAAAAGATAGTGAAGAAGAAAATGATTACGAGAAAGAAATAGATAATGAACAAAAACATGTAGAAGAAGAAGAAGAAGAAGAAGAAGAAGAAGAAGAATCTTTAAGTACTTCTACTATTAAATTTGTTATACCTCAAGAAGGACAAGCATTGCTTTTTCATCGAACTTCATGCCACAATTGAGGACAAATGATACTATATTGTGGACTAGATTCCACAACGCATAATAATGTAAAGCATAGATTTAGGAAGTTACTTTGAGAAAGGATTTTATTAGAAAGTCTTTTTTCATTATGTCATGCTCTAGAAACAATAAATCGCATCTTACGTCAGTTTAAATGTCAGGATGTTTTTTTTTCATTTTCTTTACCGGCTGAAGTGTAGACGTATATTTCGCCATTAGCATAACAAAAGTACAAGCCGCAGTAAAAGACGAGAAAAGTGAATAAGAGAAGGAAAGAAATCCAATAAAAAGAAAGAAAAGAAAACTGAAGAAGCAGAAGAAATGAAGGGGAAAAAAAGAAATGAGAAGAAATTAAAAACGCACTAATAATTCAAAAAAGAAGATCTCGTAAAAATGACTGACTTCCTATCAAGAATTGTTGGAAACAACGGAAATGAGAGAAAAAGAGAAAGGATGATCTAAAATGGTAAAAATACAGAAAGAATAAAAGCTAAAAGAAATGTAAACCAAAAAAAATAAGGAAAGAAAGACAGAATGAATGACAGAAAAATGGTAAATGAAAGCATGAAACATAGAATTAAAAAAGTGGAAAATAGATAAGATGAATGAAAACCTTAAACAGAAAGAAAGAAAGAAAGATAGAAAGAAGCACATTAAAAAAACATCGGCGCTGATAGGCGAAGGATAAATAAAAAAAAGTAAATGTAAAGAAGCAATAAAGAAACAAGAAAGAAAAGAAGGAAATATTAAAGAAAGAAAGAAAGAAAGAAAGAAAGAAAGAAACAAAGAAAGAAAAGAAAAGAAAAGAAAAGAAAGAAATAAGCACATTAAAAAACATCGGGATGATAGACGCAGAATAATTTTAAAAAATGTACAAGTAAATAAGCAATAAAGAAACAAGAAATAAAATATGGGAAGAAAGACAAAACGAAAGAAAGAAAGAAAGAAAGAAAGAAAGAAAGAAACATTTAAAACATCGAGGCTGAAGCAATAAAGAAACAAGGAAGAAAAGAAGGAAAAAAAGAAAGAAGGAAATATTGCAGAAAAAAAAACGAAAGAAAGAAAGAAAGAAAGAAAGAAAGAAAGAAAGAAAGAAAAATCGCATTAAAAAATATCGGGACTGATAGACAAAGGATGTTTAAAGAAAGTAACAAGTAAATAAAAAAGAAAGAAAGAAAGGAAATGAAAAAGAAAAACTAGGAATGAAAAAGAAAAATGAAGGAATAAGACAAAGAGTTAAAACAGGGGAAATATGCAAAGCCATAAACGAAAATATTGAATGAAAAGAGATTGAAACTTTAAGAAACGAAAAAGGTTGAAATCAAATGTATAAAATGTATAAAATGTAAAAAAGTATAAAATAAGAAATATAGCCCAAGTCTTGGGAAATAATAAGTAAAATTAAAAAGAAATTAAAAAAAAACATAAAACTACAAATATTTCTTGTTAAAAAAAAACAATACAAAATTTGATCAAAATTCAGAATGAAAAGAAAAAGAAGAAAAAATACGGTTATCTCCCATGATATTTAAGTTACAATTTTAAAATGGCTTTCTTAAGATCGTTCAGATAGCGTTGAAAGGCCAACCATCTTACAGCTGGTACTTCCTATTTCTTTTTATTTTATTTTGTTTCGGTCATTCACCTAATTACATATCGACTACGACCCAATTTCTAACATGCCAATAGAATAAAAACGAGACAAAAAAAGAAATAAATATAATTAAATCAATCGATCCATATGAACTTTAACTGACATTCATTTCGCATAAGATCACTTCTGACGTCGTGGCAATTTATTCAGGCTTTCTTTTCTTCCAGTAATCGCTTTGCTGCATGAATTATTGTCGCTATGAATCTTCTTACCACAAAAGCAACAACAACAAAGACAAGAAGAAGAAAAAGAAAGATTTAAAATTCATATATATATATATATAGTTATCGTCCCATCCACGAATACTTTTGAAATTATAAATACTTCCAGCAATACGAAAATGAATCAACCATGTTCGTTTTAATTGTGCGATAAATGTCGATTCTTTTACCTATAATTAAAAACGAAAGCATATTTTTATATACTGTTACAGGTATAGGAGTAATGGATATTGATTTGGCTTGAGGAATCGGAGAGCCGAGTTCGAATTCCAGTCAAATCCATTACATTCACTTACGTGCTAATAACCTTGGGAAAAGTTGTAAATCCCCTTCTTCTCCCTCTAGTTATGGGTAAATAGCAGAACAGACTGGGTTCTATAGCCTTGGATGGCAACTGGTCTACGAGAAGGACAACTCCGAATTCAAACCCGGAGTGGATCCCCTAAGGCAAATGGACGGCACTCTGTGCTACCTTCCGGCAACTCCTGCAGTCTCGCTGGTACCAAACTGTATTGGTTTATCCTCTCCTTTGGACTCTGCTAGCAAGGCCGAGACGGGCAGCCCTAGTTTTCCGTCCGCGCAGCCCTAGTTCTCCATATATCCCGACCAGGCTCGTAGCGGACCGCGCTACTCCATCGTCTATCGAGACGGACGGATGCTGACGACGATATTACAGTAAAAAAAGAATAAGAATGTTGATCATAAAATTTGTCATTGTCGAAACTTTTACATACCGAGAAAGAGAAATAAAATCTACTTAAATGCATGCGAACATTTGCATAGCTGAAGGCTGGCCCACCGTGGATAAAATGTATGCAATCTAGCCATCTACCAAACAAATGGAGATACTTTTGCTTCACTGTTAACACCCTTGAGTTTAAGGTAAATTGAATCTACACTCGCATACTGAGATCTATAATGACAGCTCTGAAGACACTGCTGACGAGAAAACTTGCGCATAATCTACTGTTCTGGACACCATGGAATAATACGGGTTGTTCGTCCAGCACAATTAACTATGTAATGACACAGGATGCCACTCTAATCATTGATGCAGGATCGTGATATTTAGGAAGATAGATTCGCAAATGTCCCACCAATAGCTTGACCGAATTATAATGAATTTGCAACTTTCTAAAAATTGCAAAAGACAGCCCGTCTCGTAACGTGTCAGTGATTTTATTAAGGCTGTTTCACGCCTTCATACTGGTTCATTTATTGCACACAATCATATATTTCTTTTATAAGAATCATTACTTCATTTGATTAACCTTGTTATTAATCAACTCCCGTCGCTTCTACTGATTCCTTTATACCAGAAATAGGTACTGACATTCGTCTATCATCAAGTGGAAGGATGTTAACATCTTGTTCCAGTGACGGGGACATCGAGATGAATAGCATTGTCTTTCTGATTTCAAAGTCTTCTTACGAGTGAAACCTAACTTTTAAATGACACCTTCATATTGAAGTATTTTTCAATTCGCTGGCAAAATTCATATATTTGTTAAACTTTTAAATTTCCTTTCAATCTGACTCTTTGCCCAACAACGTTTCGTTAACATTGTAAGTTTGGCTAAATTAATCGAATATCAACAGAATTCAGGTTATTTAATGAGGAATATAAGGATTTTAAAAGGAGAATAATAATGGCTTAAACAGACAAAATTCATGTTTTGCATTAATGTAGGAAAAGTAGACCCATGTCCTGCTTACAAAAGAGTAAAATAAGTAGACATTAGTCCCGTTTACTTAGGTCCTGTTTACAGCAGATTTAACAAATGCAGACGTTAGTATTGTTTACTCCAAACAGAGGATGTAAAAATACTGCACCGTAATCCGAACTTGTGTTGGTTTGGTTTCGTTTGTTTTATTTTGTTTAACGGCATATGAACCTCAATTGGTTATTTAATGCCGACAACATTTTTAGGATAGATTCGTATGAATAGAGTATGTATTCTTTGGTTTAGATTGGTTTGGTTTATTTTGTTTAACGGCATATCAACTTTAATGGGTTATTTAATGCCGACAACATTTTTAGGATAGATTCGTATGAATAGAATATGTGTTCTTTGGTTTAGATTGGTTTGATTTATTTTGTTTAACAGTATATAAACCTCAATGGGTTATTTAATGCCGACAACATTTTTAGGATAGATTCGTATGAATAGATTATGTATTCTTTGGTTTAGATTGGTTTAAGTTATTTTGTGATTCTTCTTTTATTGACAGATGTGTTACTTCTCTACAAGGGATTCACACAACTTATCCCAATTCTAACCGACAGGATAACGGTTAAAAATTTATAATTTGGCACGTCTGACTTTATTTTTTATGGATTTGTTTTTTCCGTTTAAAATAATATGTCGCACGAAATTGTGTTTAGCGGCTACGGTTATTGTTTTCCAGAGGTCAGTCACAGTTGTGTCGCTGAGTTAGTTGCCCTGTCTCTGTGTCTTACTAAAATTAAAACCATTTTTTTCATCTTTTCTAGCACAACGCATATAGACTATATTCGCTAATTTTGTTGTGCCACGTAGGGAAATTTTGCCGATTACCTGTCAGTGAGTGAGAAGGGTTAAAGAGTAAGAGAAATTAATCCGGCCTCGTATAATTATTTTTTATCACGTGACTCGTAGGGTCCTAGGGGCACCATGTGTACTGCAGCTACGGTGGAAGTGGTATTTCTTGGGTAAGATAGCTTGACGTCCAGGCCGACTTTGAATTCAGAGTTATTTCCTTCTCTTCGACCGGAGGCCATCCAGTCCTGTCATTTACCTATGGCTATTAGAAGAGGATACATAACTTTCCCAAGGGTATAAACATGTACTGGAATTGTTCGACTAGAATTCGAACTCGGCTCTTCGATTCCTCAACCCAAGCTGCTATTCCCTATTCAACTTGCCTATAAATATTGTGATTTTCCAAGCGTAGCTCAGATATGGCACAATGCCGAAAGTATGTGGCACCCAGTGAGAATCGAAGTCACTACACAGTCGTAATTGTTCTAGCGAAACAAACTTGCTAACCATTACACTACCTCAAGGTGCCCAATGATTTTCTAAGCGTAGCTTTGATGTGGCACAAAGCCGAAATAAGTTGGAAGTTTACCCCGGTAGTAGGGGTCTGCTTTAGAGTACCAGATGTTCCCAAGTGGTCCCCCATCAAAGTACTGACCTGGCTCTACGATGATGAAATTTCGTGATCGAACGAGAACTGGTGTTTTTAGCGTTATTTGACCATAAGCCCTTCGCCTATAAATATTAGCTCTTAAATTGTTTTCTTCTTTTTTTGCTTCTTCTTCTTTAGGTCTCTTACAATCTTCGTCCTCTTCTTTAGGTTTGCTGTCTCTTACAGTCTTCTTCTTCTTCTTCTTCTTCTTCTTCTTCTTCTTCTCTTCCTCCTCCTCCTTCATCTTTATCTTCTTCTTCTTCTTCTCCTTCTTTAGGTCTCTTACAATCTTCGTCCTCTCCTTCTTTAGGTTTGCTGTCTCTTACAGCCTTCTTTTTCTTCTTTTTCTTCTTCTTCTTTTTCTTCTCTTCCTCCTCCTCATCCTCCTCCTCCTCCTTCTCCTTCTTTAGGTCTTTTACAAACTTCGCCCTTTCCTTCTTTAGGTTTGCTGTCTCTTACAGCCTTCTTCTTCTTCTTCTTCTTCTTCTTCTTCTTCTTCTTCTTCTTCTTCTTCCTTCTTCTCTTCTTCCTCCTCCTCCTCCTTCTTCTACTTTATGTTCTGACCCTTCAGGTCATAGGAGAATATCCCTACAATTACTCCCCTACCCTGTTCTGCTATGCATTTACAAAATCTTGATATATAGGTTACACGCTGATTCCTTTTGACCCTACTACGTATTATAATATTTTCCAGGTAGTTAAAAGCCTTCACTTAAGCATATTTATAAGTCTGGTGTTCGACCAAACATTGAATATGACTGCCAAATCTGGTATGCTGCTTTTGCTATTTTGATAAAATCCAAACGAAGAATCTGCAATGTTATCGGTTCTAAACTGGAATCCTGATTTAAATCATATTCACAACACCGTAACGTATTTTTCCTAAGCAATTTTATAAATATGATCATAGGAATGGTTCTGATGTGATTTCCTCTTTGGTACCTCGAATTTACGAATTCAAGCGCAGTACTAGATTGGCAGTTAGGTCTCATCATTTCACAACTGAAATGGCTACATGTAACCGTAAGTTCTATGCAAAAAGATTCTTCTATCGTACTTCTCGCTTGTAGAAGGAATTTCCTGCTTCTGAAGTTGCAGCCCACTTTGATCTTCAAAAATAAAAATAAAATGTCAGTCGTTATATTTTTTTGTATTTTTAACTCCATTTCACTTCTTATTCTCTCTCCATAATAATGTTTTTACTTTTCTCATATTCTTTCATATTCTGTCCTAAGTAAGGCAATAATACCACTAATGCACAATGGGTTACCCTAGAACATTAGTGGTATTATTTCCTTAATTAGGGCAGAAATGATTGAAAAGAAGTTGTTTGATTTTTTACAAGAGTAATACATAAATACGTTATAAAACATGAGGTATTATAATTATTTACACTATTGACATTGTTCGGACTGTTGTTCTCATGTGTTGCTATATTCACGGAATTTCGGCCGTTGTACGCTCCGGCCTTCTTATTTGCACTGCTGACATTGTTCGGACTGTTGAACACTTCTTCGTTATCATATTCATGACGTTTCGGCCGTTTTAAGCTCCGGCCTTCTTCAGGATCTATCTATATTTCTGAGATGAGCTATTGTAATTATATACACTGTTGACATAGTTCATTGCCATATTCATGACGTTTCGGCCGTTGTACACTCTGGATACCTCAGTGGCAGTTATCTCATTTTAACTCAAATCTCCAAGTTTTTGTTTTTTTTCAACTCTGCATTAGCCAGGTATTAAATCTACAATTGTTTGGACCAAGTCACTGGATTCATCCACTGCTTTTCTCCACTGGGTAATGTGTCATTGGTAAACAGTCTAAATAATTTATAATTTTTTGGTTCACGCTCGCGTAGCTTTACATTTTTCTAAGTTTATTTATGCACACAGAAGTTAAGGAACATTTAAATAGTGCTTCAAAAGTGTTATTTACAGCATAGGAATTGATTCTATGTACTATATATCATCTTATTAAAATATGAATTCTGAACAATTTTCTTACCAATAAAGAAGAAGAGAAAAGGGTGTGGCAGACAATATATGGAGAGAAAAGGGAAATCACCGCCTTCTGTGGGATCAAGATCAGATAATAGTCAAAGAACACATTTGGAAAATTTGTAAACTGGTGGAATCAGCACATATGCTAGGCCACATAAATCTCCTGAGCTGAACAAGCATAAAAATGAATACAATATGGGAACCAGTAATAAGGAGTGCCAGGGAAAAGCGATAATAACAACAAAAATTGTAATAGTAGCTCTAGTAAAAACATGTAATGATAACTACAAAAAATTGCAATATGAGCACTGGTAAAAATTGTTGCTGAAGAGATTAGGTTTATAATGCCCAGAAATGCTTACACAGACGTCCTGAGGGACACATGGCACGGTGGATAAAGTTGTTATTTAGATCCAGTGACAGAAATCAAAGAGTGTGAGTTCAATACCTAGTTAAGGCAGTGGAGAACTTGGAGAAGGGAATTAACAGGAGATAACTGATAAGAGACATCCATTAAACATGGCACGTGGAACTAAAACAGTTTACTCCAGTGAGTGAAAAAAATGTTGGACATTCCAACAACAACAGATTAATATATAAAATATAAATATCGCGACAAATATGAGGACAATACTCGGAATAATGTAAACAGTATATATATATATATATATATATATATATATATATATTTGGGCGTGGAAAACCAACGAAGCTTAAGTCGCACATCAAAATGTATGTATGTATGTGTGAGCGTAAATGTATCTATCTATTTGTATACATATATATATATATATATTTAAAGATATTTTTGTAGGTACAAAATTTAATGATTGAAATAAAAGTATAAAATTTAATATTACACGACGTATTAAAACAATATTAAATAATAAAAAAAAACTTAACAAAAAGGGGGGGGAGCAACCGGTTTCACTCCCGCTCTTCAGGCTTCCACGGGAGATTGAAAAATTAAAACAGAGAAATGTACAATAAGAATAGGTGGAAAATATATAAATATATATATATATATATATATATATATATATGCAAGAAGGAACTAGAGGCAGATGGCAGCGAGTCCCAGCAAACACTCACGTTGTTTGCACAAAGAAGGCTTGCGGGACCCGATGTAAAGCGCCTCCAGAACCTTAAGATGAAATGCAGAGTGTGACCGGGCCAACACGGTGAACCAGTCAACACTAAATTTACAACACAATCTCTATATATATATATATATATATATATATATATATATATGTGTGTGTGTGTGTGTGTGTGTGTGTGTATGTCCACTACTATCTCTCTCTCCATCTGTCTATGTATCTATCAATCTAGATGGGTCCATCCTCCATTTGGCCCAACATTCTAGATAGATTTTTGTTTATATCTATCTTTTAATCTACACACACACATATATACATATATATATATATATATATATATATATATATATATATATATATATATATTGATGCATGTTTCATTAAATAATATAGACAAGTATGCACTAGTTAGTCGTCGCTTTGAAGTTTTTCATGCGACAAAAATCATGCAACAGATCATCATTATTGTTTCGTGCGTGTATTGTTTGATATATTGAAAAGTAATTGTCATCTTTGATAATGGCTTATGTAAGCCGAATGCTCAGATTGGATTTAAACATGTATCAATATGGTGATTTCCTTTCGTCTTTCATTTGATAATGTTATTAAGCTTATCAGACAATATGAAAGGAACTTACTTAAAATAAATAGACAAAACTTGTCTATATTATTTAATGAAACATGCATCAATGAAAAATTGCTGCCTAAACACACACACACACACAAACATATATATATATATATATATATATATATATATATATATATATAGATAGAAGATACATATACTTAAAAATTGTGTATTTGGGCAGCAGTCCCTCTTTTATGCAAGTTTCCCTAAAAATGACTGACAAGGTGCTGCAGTTAAGTTTTATATAATTTTTCAGGTGAACTTTTCGAGACTTAAAAATTCTTATCTGTCGTATTCAATGAAACGTATTATATATATATATATATATATATATATATATATATATATTTGGTTGGATAGATGTGAGTTTGTGACCCTGGGTTTCACGCTTTAGCGATCGTCAGACAAACTGATTACTGTTTTAAAAAATTTGGGTTTATGTAGATTGCGTGTATTGGTGTTATTGTGGAAGTGGTGGGGGAAATTTCGTCGTTCATCAAAATAATTGCACCTATCATTATTACTATCATTATTATTATAATTGCACCACCATTAGTAATCACTTTTACCACCTTACAATATCTATTAACTATCAATATTATCATTACCACCTACACACAGCACCATCACTTACACATCACACCCACTATTAACATATAATCCACTACAATCTTTATTACCCCCCCCAGCATATTTAATACTTTAAAACAATATGATCAGATATAATTTCCATATGTAACCATGAGAACAAACACCTATTACCAGGCAGCTTTAATATAATAATAATAATTTTGTAATTAAAAATTATAGCAATCTTCAACTACCATAATTTTACATAGAATACCTATTATCAGGATTTATACCAAAATAAATTAATACATATAACAAAATAAAACAAAAATAAAACACCAACAACCACTTTTTAGTTCAAGCTACCACCACTATAACTACATTCATGGTTTTATCATTCTCACACCACCGTTACTAATTATTTCTACCAATCTGCAATTTCTTCCAGTTTACAATAACTATTAGTTAAAACCTTAATAGCATTGTCTCCAATCCTTTGAAACATTACTATCACATCATATCATATAAACCCGTTATTAAATTAAACATCACCATATAAATTAAACAATAAGGATTACAATTTTTTACCTGTTACATATACACAGTCACCAAAAACAAACAAATAACCAGCTTTAAATATAACAAATAAACCCCCATTTTTTCAAAAATTTAAAAATAAATATAAATAATTTAATAATAATTTTTACCTATCATAATTTTACACAAACCCCACCACACATATATACATACATGCGAGAAAATATTTTCAAATATTTTTCAACAAAAAAAAAAAAAAAAAAAATTTTCATAATATGACATGGATACATTCACGAGACAATAACGAGACATTTCCGCCACACTTCCAATGTTTAAATTTCAACTTTTCAACATACAAATGCGTATGTATAGACATAACACCACCCGTATACATACATGTGTCATAGGCGAAACTGTCTACATATGTTTATATATATGTATGAGTCCCGACGGACGACCAAGTATGTATATGTATATGTGTCTGCATACATCGATGTTTGCGTTAGTACGATGAATGACAAAACGACGAAATTTCCCCCACCAGTTACACAATAACACCAATACACGCAATCTACATAAACCCAAATTTTTTAAAACAGTAATCAGTTTGTCTGACGATCGCTAAAGCGTGAAACCCAGGGTCACAAACTCACATCTATCCAACCAAATATGTTAGCTCTATCTCTGATATTGAGCGCTTTCTAATAATACCGCGCATATAATATATAAATAATTATACATATATATATATATTTATTTATATTTATATTCACTTTTCATATATATATATATATATATATATATATATATATATATATATATATATATATATACGTATGTTTATATATATATATATATATATATCTGTCTGTCTGTCGAGATCTATCGATATTTTCACCGGTTCATCTCATTCTCTCTCTCTACCAATTCCTTTTTTTTCTCTTATCTATCTATCTATCTATATATATCTATCTATCTATCTATCTATCTATCTATCTGCCCACGAATAATTTAAATTTTCCTATATCTATATCGATATATATATATATATATATATATATATATATATATATATATATATACAGAGGTGAAAGCAATGCATAACCTACCTGACGAGCTTGAGTGAATGGATTACGGAGCAGAGCTTGGAAAGATGGCAAAAGACAAAAGTTATTAATAGCTACAAAGGATAGGAAATTGTGGAGAGTCATTATCGCCAAAATCCTGAAATGTCACGGCAAAGCCGAGAAGAGGTAAATATTTATCTATCTACAAAGACACAAAGAAAGTAAAACAAAAAACTGTCCATCATAAAGTTTTGTATCACTTGTCTTTTATCTCCTTCCTCTTCTTTTATCTTCTTACACTCCCCCATACTGTGATATTTGCGACATGATTTGCCTTTCACCTTTGCCCTTTTCAACCCTCTCCTCTATCCACAATCGAATATTCACCCTTTCTCGTCTACTGACCATAATACGTTTATCAGAATCAGGTCTGTTTCCGTTCATTCTCGTTTTATTGGTCTCTTGTCCACTGGGGTTTAAACTGACCATTACATTAATTACGAAACGTGCTCGAAGGCGGATTTGCTCACTTCTTGAGTCAGATGGATTCTCAGTTGAGGTTTTATGATCCGACTATAATTCTTTTAGTATCCGTTTAAAAGGAAACAGATAAAAGCTCGTGACAGTTTCAAGCCTGCCTTTTCAGCTTCGCTGTATTATTTTTTTATGAGGTGCTAGGTTAAAAAGGAGAGATACCTGCAACGAATTCAGCTTCAATTTATGCCCGTTCTTACTAAACACCCACTGAGCAGAGTGATGCGGTTCTTAACAAGGTTGTCTTTCACGTCAGTTAAATTTTGCAATGTACCCGGCCATCAGCTCATTTAATACAACGTCTGCAGCTCTTAGAGAGGTTAAAACCATCAAAAGGATCCACCCTAATACCATAACTAGACAGTCGAAAATTTATTTATCTTTGTGTGTATATAATGTCCTCTTTGATTTTGAGAGGCATGAAACCACCTCTTAACTGCAGTTGTTCTCATATCCACTCTGATCCGGATTGGTAGCACTTTTTATGGGTCCCATCTATGGAGAAATAGTGAAACCCTCAAACATCAACACAATACAAGTGTGGTAGTAGATTTTTAAAGTAAAAATACCAGCAATATACTTTATCTGTAGCTGAAGCCATAAAACTGTTAAAATATTTAGATTCCTACATTAATTAAATGATAGGGGTTGATAAGTCGCTAAACAACATCGAGTACACAACCAACATAAAAGAACTCTTTAATGATATCAATTCTTGAAGAATCCAAATTGTATTCCAAAATATTACGGCAACATAAAACATCCATATCACTGCCTCTAGTAATCATGGCCACACAAACATATATATGAATAAAAGCTGAGTATCATCTACCACGTATTCAATTGTGAAAGCAGAATAACATATATCATATCTACATTAGGGCACCTCTGCGTGGTGTAAGGGTTAGGAAGCTTGTCTCGCTAAAACAGTTACGAGTGAATAGTGAGTTCGATCCTTACGGGTGCCCCATACTTTCGGCCTTGTGCCACATCTAAGCTACGCTTGGAAAATCAGTATCATATTTTTATTACTTCAATGCTCCTAAGAAAATTAAATTTCGGCATTAAATGACCCATGAAGGAGTTGATATGCCATTAAAGACACAAATCAAATCAAATTTTGCTTTTGGGACCAGCCATACCACGTTCTTAATGCGGAATCATCCTCATTCTCCTCATATTCCATTAGTAAGGGATAATTTCCAATCGGTCAGCTTCATCCTAAGAAATGCTGATATAAGGAACGGACTCCCGAGAGGATGTTTTCCCAAACGTTACACTCTTGAACTCCTTCCGTCCTGGGTATGACGATAAACTACATCCGCGTCCTGAGTAAGACGATAAACTACGTCCTACAGCAAGGCCTCTGATCAGGAGGTTTTGAGGTGCATGGAACCACCTTATAATTGCTAGTGTTCTCAGGTTCACCCTGACCTGGAGTGGTAGCACCTGTTAGGGTTCCAGCTATGGGCAAATAGTTAAAAGCCAAACTGGGGTCAAAGCACTCTGAAAGTGTAAAAATAGGTTTTAATACCAGAAATATTTTGTAAAAAAAGATTACCAACAATACATTATTACTAGCAATACATTTTTTTTTTAAATACCGGCAATATATTTTTGAAAAAAAAAAAAAAAATAACCGCAATACATTTTTTTGTAAATATTACCAGCAATATATTTGTGAAAAAAAAAAAACGAAATTTTTTTAGGAAAAAAATATATTACCGGCAATACATTTATGAAAAAACAAAATATTACCGACAAAAATTTTGTTTGCAGTAAATAACGCATAGAGGTTGATAAACCGTAAAACAAAATTAACCAAACCTAACCTGATCTCTTCAATTTTAGGATTAATCCTTACCTATCCTGCATAACCACAAGAACTTCGATTATACGCTCATATACCACCACATAAAAAAATCTCTACCTTGAGTGGTTCTTGGGCATTAGCTAAACATTGGTACATAAAAATAATATACACCCTTGTGGAAATTAATTGAAATAACAGCTTTAGTTTCCTTTCTTTCACCATACAGTCAGTTTTAGACCCACTGGAGTGACAGGGTGTAATCGATTTCTATTTTTTTTCTCAGATTAGGTCATTTGCAGTTGTGTGCAGTAGTATGAATCTGTTTTCTGGGTGCATGATGAAATTTGTTTGGTCTTGAATAATATTGTGTCATCCGGAATTGCATCAGACTTTTATCACGCCCAGAGAAATAGTGATGCTTATACTAATAGAAGATAGAGTAGAAATAGTGATCCGTATTGCAGTAGCGTAGAAATAGTGATCCATATTGTAATAGAGGATATATTAGAAATGGTGATCCGTATTTTAATAGAGTACAGTTTAGAAATAGTGATCCGTATTGTAATAGAGTATAGAGTAGAAATAGTGATCCGTATAATAATAGAGGATAGAACAGATATAATGATCAGTATAGTAAGAGAGCATGGGGTAGAAATAGTGATATTCATAGCAATAGAAGATGGAATAAAAAGAGTAATTCTTTAGACGCCATTCTAATTTCCATATATACATTTCCTTGTAGATCACGTGATCTAATTATTCAAAATGAAATCACCTTCTTTTTGCTCACTGGTGATCTGTGTTCCATCCCCAGTGTCGACAGCTACACTTTATTCCCATATAACGTATTTATTTGGTTGGCGTATATATATATATATATATATATATATATATATATATATATATATATATATATATATATATATATATATATATATATATATATATATATATATATATATATACCCTTAAAATTGAAATAAAACGAATAATTCCGTTATTTACTTTCTTTCGTATTTTCCCAAAGAAACACGAGTCAATGCACATGTTTGTATTTCATGTGTCTATTCCACAAAGCCGTTCCTTACAGATTGACCACAGATTCTGGATTGGATTTAAATTAGAAGAGTTTCTGGACCAGTCGATAGTACTTTGATTTACTCACTGGTAAGGCTTGTCAATGTGCTCGTGTAGCGTTACAATTTTCGTAAGCTTCCTTGGAGTAACCTCCATCACATATATTGGCCGTAGGACAACTAATCGACCGTCGGGATTAGTATTAGTATAGGCATCACTATTTCTACTCCATTCTCTATTACTATACGGATCGACATTCTCTAACAATTTCTCTATAATATTTCTTTATACTGATCACTCTACGGATTACTACACGGATTACTATTCGGTAGTTACTATTCGACATTATATTATCAAGCAAGTACTATTAGTGCGAGTGTTATTCAACGGCCTACTATAGTTGTATCTGTGATTAAAATTACTACTACAACAAGCATTAAGAAAGTAACAACGAGTATTCATTGACATCACAGAAATATATTTCTTTTCAAAAACTTCATAGTAGAATCTTGACCATCTGGAATATAACAAAAGATTCGCAACGCATTGACTAAAACCAGTGATCAAATCGAGTTAAGAAAACTTCTCCACTCTTGTCCCATAAACTGGCTGACGAAAGTGACAATTGCAACAAATAGTACATTGACACGAGAAATTATTATTCGAAAGGTTGTGTGGGTCGTGAATGGTAGATTGTCCATCGACTACATCAGCAAGTTTCAATTTTAAACCAGGCGAAACAGCGGCCGCTTAAAATAACATGCTGCTCGGCATGTTTGAGTGGAGGCAAGGTGACTTAATTGGTGGACAGTGACAGAGTCAAGTAAGGAGAACGGATAAAATCATGATCAAAATTGTGATTTAGCTATTTTACAGTATTCTCTCCGCCACATGTACGGGTGTGTTTTGAAAAGTTCATAGACTGACTATGAAGGAGTCGAAGGGAGAGCTGTGATATCTTACGTGAATCAATTTCAGTTTTTCTTATTTAAAATAGCATTGTTTCTTTCCCTGTATGAAGTTGGGCTGAAAAGTTCATAGGCTGATTATGAAGGAGTCGAAGGGAGAGCTATGATATCTTAATTGCATTAATTTCAGTTCTTCTTATTAATAACAGCGTTGTTTCTTACCCTGTATGAAGGAGGGCTGAAAAGTTCATAGGCTGACTATGAAGGAGATGAACGGAGAGCTGTGAAAACTTACGAGCATCAATTTCAGTTTTCCTTATTAATAACAGCATTGTTTCTTACCCTGTATGAAGTTGGGCTGAAGCTTTTTATAGGCTGACTATGAAGGAGTCGAAGGGAGATCTGTGAAATCTTCTGTGAATCAATTTCTGTTCTTATTATTAACAGCATTGTTTCTTTCCCTTTATGAAGGTGGGCTGAAATGTTCATAGGCTGACTATGATGGAGTGGTACAAGAGCTTTGAAATCTTGCATGCATTCATTTCGACGCTACTTCTAAATAATAGCATTTTTCTTTTCATGTACGTCGGTCGACTGAAAAGTTCATAGGCTGAAG